TGCTGGGTGTGGTGTTCTGGAAATGTCGATTTGATCAGTAGTGTTGTTTAGACACTCTTTACCCACACTGTGTGGGGTTTTTTTCTCTCTGTAGTATTCTCTCAGTTCCTCAGAGAGGTGTCAAAATCTCCAACTACAGTTGTGGATTTGTTTCTCCCTTTAGTTACATCTGTTTTAACTTGGCGAGATTTAAAACTCTATAATTAGCTAGATACATATTTAGTATCATTATGTCCTGATAATTGCCTCTTGTATCATTATGAAATGTCTCTTTTTTTGAGAGAGAGTACACATATGTGCGTGAGTTGGGGAGGAAGGGAGAGGTGGAGAGAGATTTTTTTCTTTTTTTTAGGTTTATTTCTTTTGAGAGGGGGTAGGGAGTGAGTATGAGTGGGAAAGAGAGGGAGAGAGAGACTCCCAAGCAGGCTTCACACTCCATGCTGAGCCCAACATGGGGCTCGATCCCACAGCTGTGAGATCATGACCTGAGCCGATATCAAGAGATGCTTAACCAGTGGAGCCACCCGGGCGCCCCACATTTTCTCTTTATCTCTCGTAATTCTTTGTTTGGAAGCCTCTGATACCACTATAACCGTCATTCACATACTTTCTTCTGCTTACTTCTTAGATGTATTTTGTATATTTCATTGTTTTTACAGGCTACCGATTTGTGTCTTTGTACTTAAGGTGCTCTCCTTGGGCTCTATGCTGACAGCACAGAGCCTGCTTGGGATTCTCTCTCTCCCTCTCTCTCTGCCCCTCCCCTGCTTGCACACCTCTTTCTCTCTCTCAAAATAAAGAAAAACCAAAAAATAAAAATTAAAAAGGAAAGAATACCATTTAATTTCCTCTACTGACTTGCTGTTTCTCTTACCAGGGTCACCAGACACATCCTTCACTTATAAAGTCTCTTTACAGCTTTGGATCCCTTCATACGTGGCGACCGGCACTTAACACTTCACATCGCATCTGACACCTCGCAAGTGTCTTAAAAGAGCACAATTTCACGTGTCTGTCTGCCTTCCTTTCCTGTATGTGCTATTATTGTCCTACTTTTTGTTTCTTTCACAGTATAAATCCCACCTTGCGGTCATTATTTATCGTTTTCTGGTCAGTTGTCTTATAAGGAAAATACAAGAAACAATAATATTTTGTATATACCTACTACTTACCATTTCTGGTGCTCCTCATCCCTTTAGTAGATCAGCGTTTCCATTTAGTATCATTCCTGGAGGGCATCTTTTTTTTTTTTTAATGTTTTATTTATTTCTAGGAGAGAGAGAGACAGCATGAGCAGGGGAGGGTCAGAAACAGGCTCCAGGCTCTGAGCTGGCAGTCAGCACAGAGCCCGACGCGGGGCCCGAACCCACGAACCGCGAGATCATGACCTAAGCGAAAGTCGGACGCTTAACCGACTAAGCCACCCAGGCACCCCAACGTTTTATTTATTTCTGAGAGAGAGAGAGACAGTGTGAGCAGAGGAGGGTCAGAGAGAGAGGGAGACACAGAATCCAAAACAGGCTCCAGGGTCTGAGCTGTCAGCACAGACCCCAGTGCGGGGCTCGAACCCACGAACCGCGAGATCATGACCTAAGCGAAAGTCGGACGCTTAACCGACTAAGCCACCCAGGCACCCCAACGTTTTATTTATTTCTGAGAGAGAGAGAGACAGTGTGAGCAGGGGAGGGTCAGAGAGAGAGGGAGTCACAGACTGAGAGGGTCAGAAACAGGCTCCAGGCTCTGAGCTGGCAGTCAGCACAGAGCCCGACGCGGGGCCCGAACCCACGAACCGCGAGATCATGACCTAAGCGAAAGTCGGACGCTTAACCGACTAAGCCACCCAGGCACCCCAACGTTTTATTTATTTCTGAGAGAGAGAGAGACAGTGTGAGCAGGGGAGGGTCAGAGAGAGAGGGAGTGACTCTGAAACAGGCTCCAGGCTCTCAGCTGGCAGTCAGCACAGAGCCCGACGTGGGGCTCGAACCCACGAACCGCGAGATCATGACCTAAGCGAAAGTCGGACGCTTAACCGACTAAGCCACCCAGGCACCCCAACGTTTTATTTATTTCTGAGAGAGAGAGAGACAGTGTGAGCAGAGGAGGGTCAGAGAGAGAGGGAGACACAGAATCCGAAACAGGCTCCAGGCTCTGAGCTGGCAGTCAGCACAGAGCCTGACGCGGGGCTCGAACCCACGAACCGTGAGATCATGACCTGAGCCGACGTCGGACGCCGAGCCCACTAAGCCACCCAGGCGCCCCGAGAGAGAGAAGCTTGAGCAGGCTCCATGCTCAGCGTGGAGCCGGACGCGGGGATCGATCCCACAACCCCGGGATCATGACCTGAGCCACTCAGGCGCCGCACTCTTCTCTTGAGCATTGATTCGCGTCCTAAGAGTCAGTTCAGTTTGTTGGCCGATCGCTTTGAACCTGGGTAGGCCGGTTTTGTCAGGGCGGATACACGGCGTCCAGGGACGTTCCTCTAGCCTCTGGCTTGACGGAGGTCAGCCTCCGCCTCCGCACCTGAGACTCGGGTCGGCGCTTGGTTTTAGGCTCTGTCAGGGAAGGTGTGTGGGGGCCTTCGCCCGGTCACGGTCTTCACCCGTGGGGTCCGGCCCTTCTGATGTGGCAGCTTGCGGTAGGGGTCGCTCACAGGTGCTAGGGCCCCCCGCCGCGGCCCCCCAGAACGGCTCAGCCTCCGTCTCGGGTCTCTTCTCCCCGCTGTGGGAGCCACTCCCCGTAAGGTTCTGGGAGTCTCGGCCTGTGCGCGGGGCGCTCAGGAAACGACTCCCCAAGGACCCCGCCACCGCCCCTCGCAGCCTTGGGGCCTTCCCGCCCCCACGTCGCTCCAGGCTCTGACGTTCGCCTCCTTGGCCCTGTGGGACCGCATGCTCTGCTCGGATTCGAACCCGCCGTCCGGCAGTCGGGAAGCCGTCGCCGGGTGGCAGTCAGGATGGTCAGGAGGCGCGTTTTATGACTTCTGCTTCTCTCAGGACTCGGGTCTCACGCTCCTTGTTCTCCTCTTGAACGTGGCGGCCTCCCGTATTTCTCTCAGGCGAACGGTTGTTTACGGAGGGAGGGCTCGTCTGCCGGGGCCACAGGCTGTCCCCTGCCCGCCCCCGTTGGTGGCCGTCCAGGCTCGCCCGCCCGCCCGCTCTTGTCTGGGGGCCTCCCTCCACCTCCGCCCTGAAGTTCCCTTTGCCTTTCCCTCGAATTGAAGTCTCTGTTTCTGGGCCCCGCATTTTCTTATTTGGGATGGATTTCTTTAGGTAGAGGTACCGTCGGTAGCTTCCTGAGAAAGGGTGGCAGGGAGATAAATGTTTTGAGGCCTGTGTATCTGAAAATGTGTTTAACAAACCACCACACTTGACAGATGGTTAATAGTGTAGAGAATTCTGGGTGGGAAATTACTATCTGTCATAGTTTTAAGCATTAAAAAATCTTTTTTAATTTTATGTCTTTATTTTATTTTCAGAGACACAGACAGAGAGCGAGTGGGGGAGGGGCAGAGAGAGAGGGAGACACAGAACCTGAAGCAGCTCCAGGCTCCGAGCTGTCAGCACAGAGCCCGACGCGGGGCTCGAACTCGCGAACTGTGAGATCATGACCTGAGCCGAAGTCGGACGCTCAACCGACTGAGCCCCCCGGGCGCCCTGCTCTTCTTTTTCTTCTGAAACACTTTCTATCCTGATAGGAGACCCCTAGGCTGGCTCTACAATTGTTTCCCCTCTTACCCTTTTATCTCCTCTTTTCTCTTTGTGTTCCTTGATTTTGGAGACATTTCTTCAACTTTATCTTCCAACCCTTAGGTTGTATTTTTCATGGATATATTTTTCATTGTCAAAGGCTCTTTTTTTTTCCCCGAATACTCCCACAAACTTAAAGAAAAAGTATTCTATTACTGTTTTTTGTATCTCTTCCTATCTCTGAAAATACTGATGTTTGTTTTGATAAAGCAAAATTGGCCTCTGCATAGTTTTTGTTTCGCCCAAGTCACTGTTTTTCGGTGTTTGTTTGGCCTCTGTCTTTTGTGCGATGGGCTCTCTCTGGGGTAGGTGCTCATCTCCGGGGCTGGGTTTCTCGGTGAGCTGGCTTCCGGGTTTGTGTGTTGCCAGAGTTCAATGCCTTTCGCTTCACCCCACGCGGGGCTGGCAGAGACCTCGTTTCCTTGGAGCCCTTCGTAGCTGGGGAGGAAATAGGTCTCCAGACAGGAGGGTCTCCGGGGACACGTTGCGGCTGAGTTCGTTCACGCTTGGACCTCTCTCTGTGGGGCGAGGGGAGAGGTGCCCACGTCCATGGTGCCCGAGCTGGTGACCGCCACCCAGAGTGCGCAGCCTCCCGCCCAGGGCGCACTGAAGGTCCAAGGTCCCCCGCCCTATCTGTCATCGCCCCACAAGGGGACTCATCCCATCACCTCCCCAGGCCGTCGCTGCCGCAGCCCATCCCTCCGCACCAGGCATCTCGGAGGCAGAAGCAGAGATCCCTGATGCTGGCTGGGTGGACGGTGTGTTTTCGGGCCCAGAGAGGGGTAGGTGCGGGCGCTGCACACACAGCCAGCAGCACAGGGTACCAGAACCAGCTCGCTGGACTGGGTGGGAGCTGCTCGAGCTCTTCTGGTTCAGTGTCGCACAGCAGTGAGCCCAGGGTTTGGGGGAGCCCTGGGCCAAATGCACTTCCTGCCGCAGCACAGAATGTCCCCTGTCCACCTTTCCCTGGGGACTCTGGTAGAGCAGAGAGGAGGGCTCCCCACCTTCCCTCTGCACCCTCCCGCCCCCCCCCCCCCCGCCCCCAGAGCCGGGCCACGGAGTTGTTTGGCGTAAGGGCTCAGACGTTCTTCTCTCTCTGTCCACCTTCAGCCCCGCTGCCGTGATTCCCGCCAAGGTGCGGGCCGGCGTCCTGCCCAGGCGGACCAGCGCCTTGGGCGTGGGTCTGTGGGGCTGCCCTCCCTGTCCCCCGTGCCTGGCCCCACCACCGGGTTCACGGGGCCCCCCCTGTTTCTGTAGCTGCAGATCTGGGACACAGCTGGCCAGGAGCGATTCCGCACCATCACCCAGAGCTACTACCGCAGCGCCAACGGGGCCATCCTCGCGTACGACATCACCAAGAGGAGCTCCTTCCTGTCGGTGCCACACTGGATCGAGGACGTGAGGAAGTACGCGGGCTCCAACATTGTGCAGCTGCTGATCGGTGAGCGGAGGGGGCCGGGGCCGGGCCGCAGGGTCCCTCGGGGCCACGGGTCTAGCTGTCTTTTGGTTTTCTTTTTAACGTTTATTTATTTTTGAGAGAGAGACAGAATGCAAGTGGGGGAGGGCCAGAGAGAGAGTGAAACAGAATCCAAAACAGCTCCAGGCTCCTGACTGTCAGCACAGAGCCCGGCGCGGGGCTCGAACCCACGGACTGCGACATCATGACCTGCGCCGGAGTCAGACGCTTAACTGACTGAGCCCCCCAGGCGCCCCTCTTTCTCCTTGTTAAACAAAGGGCGGGTGGAGCGCAGAGAGAAGCTGAACTTGGCCAGGCAGGCCCAGAGCCAGAGCCCGAACGGTGATCTCGCAAATTCTGATCCCGCCAGTCGCTTACAGAGTTACATTCGAAACTGCAGTTGGAGGGAGGAAGAAAGGGGCTTTGTACGTCCCGTGTCCCCCCGGGGTCAACCCTGGTTAGATCTTCACGTGTGTCCCTGGATTCAGCGCCCGGAGCCCTGGCTATCGGCTCCTCTTGGTTTGTGAGGGCAGAGCCAAGGCTCAGAGAAGGGAAGTAATTTTTCCCAGTCCGCACAGCCTGTGAGCAGAGAAGCACGAAGCTGGGGCCCTGCTGGTGGGAGTTCAGGGCTGAACCGCCCCACCGCCCCGCAGAGCGGCGCCCCTCGAGCCTCTGCGTGCTCCCGGGTCAGTCCGAGGGCTTGTGGAAGTACGGATGCTAGGCTCCGTGTCCGGTTCCGGAGGGCCGGGCGGGGCCCGTGAGGGTGCCTTTCCTTACGGGTTCCCAGGTGACGGCGGTGGCGCCCATTCTGCGGCCCAGAGACCCCACTTTGAGAACCCCTGTTGCAAAGGGATGCCCTTACTAACATTTTCCCTTTCCCTCCCTGACCTGGGCTCAAAAGCTTCGGACCATTTCTGTGGTCTGGGGTCCTCATTCCAACAGTCTGGCAGATTCTTCTTCCTTTTTTTTCTTGAGAGAGAGAGTGTGCGGACATGTGTGCAAGCAGGGGAGGGGCAGAGGGGAGACAGATTTTTAATTTTTTAAGTTTATTTTGAGCGAGAGAGAGCATGCACACATGCACATTTGGGGAGGGGCAGAGAGAAAGGGAGAGAGAGAAAAATCGCAAGCAGGCTCCGCACTGTCAGCACAGAGCCCGAAGTGGGGCTCGAACCCACGAACTGTGAGATCATGACTTGAGCCGAAGTCAAGAGTTGGATGCTCAACTGCCTGAGCCACCCAGGCGCCCTGATTTTTTTTTTTTCTTTTTTTAGAGACAGACTCTTCTAAGATGAGGTTGTAGAGGTGGGGCCCGGACAGAGCTCCCGCTGGGGAAAGGCTGGTGCTTGGCTCCCTGCCTGGCCTGGGACGTGGGAGTGCTCAGTGGAGCGCGATGCCCCAGCCGGGAGCGCGGTTCTCCGTGCCCGGCCTCACATTTCCCGTGTGTCCAGAACATTTAAAATAAAACATTCTGTCATAGAGCACTTTATACCAATACAAACATAGGATAGTACAGTGAACCCAGATACCCATCACCCGGCTTCAGCAGTGGGCACCTCACGGCCAGTTTCCTCTCTACCCTCATCCCTTCCCCCCCTTGTCTTGCTTTGGGATAAATCCCAGCACCAAGCTATTTCATCTACAAATATTCCAGCATAAATTTATAAAAGACACAAACACTTCAAAAGTACATAACAATACCATTTTCACATCTACAATGTATTGATACTTTCTTCTTATTATTACTCAGTTTATTTTTTGAGAGAGAGAGCAGGGGAGAGGCAGAGAGAGGGAGAGAGAGAATCCCAAACTGGCTCTGCGCTGTCAGAGCCCAGTGCAGGATGAGAACTCACAAACCACAAGATCATGACCTGAGCCAAAAACGAGAGTCAGATAATCGACTGAGCCACCTAGGTACCCCCCATGTTGATATTTTCTTAATATAATCAAATGGCTAAAGAGTGTTCAGATTTATAATTGCTTATAAATATCACATGTACTTTTTTTTCACTTTGTTGAACTCAGGATCCAAACAAGTACCACATATTGAAATTAGTTGCTATACCATTTAAGGTTACCAAAGACAGCCTTGATCTTTATAGATGGTTATCTGTTTTTTATTTTTAAATTTTTTAATGTTCATTCGTTTTTAAGAGACAGCACGAGTGGGGGAGGGGCAGAGAAAGAGGAAGACAGAATCCGAAGCAGGATCCAAGCTCTGAGCTGTCAGCACAGAGCCCGACGTGGGGCTCGAACCCACAAACCTCCAGATCGTGACCTGAGCCAAAGTCAGGTGCCTGACGGTTATCTATTTTTTTGTGTCCTCCCTGTAATCATGTTAAAAAAGTCAACCACTTAGAGACTTAAAAAAAGTCTTCTAGGGGCGCCTGGGTGGCTCAGTTGGTTAAGCTTCCAGCTTCGGCTCAGGTCACGATCTCACAGTTCGTGGGTTCGAGCCCCGTGTCGGGCACTGTGCTGACAGCTCAGAGCCTGGAGTCTGTTTCAGATTCTGTATCTCCCTCTCTCTCTCTGACCCTCCCCTGCTCACACTGTCTCTCTCTCTCTCTCTCTCAGAAATAAATAAAACATTAAAAAAAAATCTTCTAGAAATTGGGTCAAGGAGCCGTTGACCAGATTATTGAGAACATAATGAAACACCTGCCACCTTACAGAAGAAACCAGAGGTGCGCTCTCAGGTCAGGTGAGAGGCTGTGCTCTTACTAGCAGAAAAGCAAAATAATCAAAAGTCACAATCTTACGGGGAGTAAAAGAATTCCAAAGGAAAATAGGAGAGAGTAAACTATAAGCATCAGCAAAGTGTAGCAAAGAAAACAGTTGGCCATGCCAGACCCTTTTGTTATGCCCCCTGGTGGCAAGTGTCCGCCAAGTGCCGGTTGTTGTCACGTTCGCTGTACCCTTTGATCCCTCCTGTTGTACTGAAGGTGGCATCACTGATGGGGAAGCTGAGACTCAGGGATGAAGTGACTTAGCCCAGGGTCACACGGCAAGCGAAAGGGAGCCCAGGTTTCCTGCAGCTCTCCAGTACCGCGTTCTTCTCACCAAAGTTTCCTGCTCTGATTTGTTAGAGTCAACGCAGAGACCGAAGCCGCTGGCAGAGATAAAAAAGAAAAACAAAATGAGGGCCGAAAGGCTCGAATAAGAGCTTTCAAACAAAAGGTCTTTTTTTTTTCCCCTCAAAAAAGACCGAGGGCCGCCCAAGAAGGGGCTCCTGGGTAGCTGGCAGCACGCGCTGGGCGGCCTGATGCTTGACCGTGCGGCCCCGCCGGGCGGGACCAGGCCTCACCGGGCTGCGCCGGGCCTTTCCCCGCAGGGAACAAGTCGGACCTGGGCGCGCTCCGGGAGGTCCCGCTGGCCGAGGCGCAGAGCCTGGCAGAGCGCTACGACATCCTGTGCGCCATCGAGACGTCGGCCAAGGACTCGAGCAACGTGGAGGAGGCCTTCGTGCGGGTGGCCACGGAGCTGGTCGTGCGGCACGGCGGCCCCCTGCTCAGCGACAAGGGCACCGACCACATCCAGCTGGACACCAAGGACGTCGGGGAGAGCTGGGGCTGCGGCTGCTGACCGGGGCGCAGGGCAGGCAGGCGGGGGCCTCCCCTCCTCTCTCTCTCTCTGTCTCTCTCTGTCTCTGTGTCTCTGGCCTGCCAGGCCCCCCCCTCCGGAGCTGGCCCCCCGTGGCGCCAGCAGCTGGATAAAGCCCTGGAACTCTCCATGCCGTGGCCCGGGCGCTTGATGGGAAAGCTACGCTCGAGGAAGACGCGGGATGCCTTCTAAAGGGGGCTCGTTGGCTGGCGGGGTGCAGAGCCCCTCCGGCCAGCCCGTGGCCGCCGCCGGTGTGGATCCCAGCAGGAGAGGGGCCGGGCCCCCCGCGGCCCCTCGCGGCCTGGTTCTGACCATTTCACACCTCGAGCCTTGCTGTAGCTGCGGCAGCAGGTTGCCGCCTTCCAGGGATGTGGATTCTTCCGGGTCACCCCAGGGCCTTTGTGTGTCGCCGGAGAGCGAGAGCAACCCGCCCAGCAGAGCCGGTTGCTGCGCTGGGTCCCAGGAAAGCCCCAGCCCCTTCCTGCCCTCACTGCCGGCCCGAAGCTCGTGGGAGGCTGGGGGCCGCCGCCCTCGCAGCCAAACCTCCCGAGCGTCTGGTTTTCCGTATCGCTTCTTGGTTCCATCGGCACAAGGACGGGGTCGTGGCCCACAGCCGAGCGGGGACTGCCTGCTGCCCGGGGGCCCGAAGGTCGGCCACTCAGGCTGCGAAACCAGCCGATTCCTTCAGCACCGACGCTCAGAGCTTGGGGGCTTGGGGGGATGAGGCCGAAGGGTGGACATTTGTGGGAAAAGTAAGGCTGGCCTCCCCGAGGCTGCGGTCCAAGAGGACCCTCAGGGCACCCGGCCTTGGCCATGGAGCAGCTCCCTCCTTCCAGTCCAGCTTCTGGTTTCTCCAACCAGAAAGGCGAGGCCCCGCAGCCCGGGTCCGGCTGTTTCATCCTTCTGGGCCACGTGCGCGGGTGCGTGGGGGGGGGGGGGGTCACTGGGGCCCTTGGAAGCACAGGCCGGGGGTAGCTCAGGGTCACAGGGATTGAGCTGGGGGTGGGGGGGATGGTCTTCCTCAACCCTGGGACCCTCCGTGTCGGCCCAGCCTGGCCCCTTGGTCCCCCCCAGTGCCGGGCCCCAGGAGATAAGCTGCTGTCCGAGCCACGGGCAAGGTCACGTCGGGGCGACGCAGCCCAGCGCCCTGCGGAGCCCAGGCGTGAGAGCACTGCCTGACCTCCCTCGCCTTCCGCTTCCTGTGCTTTGCTCTGCGCCCCCACCCGACCCCCTTCTCCAAGGCAGGCCCGACCCACAGCCTTCTGTGGGCCTGGCACGGAGGCTTCCGTGGCCGGGCCGAGCCCGGGGGGGCTGGTGAGTCCCTTTCAGCCGGGATGTCTGGGCCCGGTTCTGGAGGGGACGGAGGCTGGCCCGACGGGGACCCGTGTTGCGGGCAGTCACAGTCCACTGGTGGCCTGGGTTGGGGGGGAGCTGGGAGCAGGAAGACCTCTTGGTCCCCGGTGGTCTT